AACCGTGTTGGACACATTTGCTTCTCTCCACTTCTTATCCTGGATTTTGCTTTAATTCTTGTTTTAGTCTTCATATATCATACCAGAGATTCCTAGATTTAAGAACAACGATTGTCACCTATTGTCTTTGTCATTAACCATTTATACTACAAGCAATGTGTGGAAGAATTAAAGAATCTAATCGTCATCCACAGTCAGTCCATTGTGATTGGACCGTGATATTAAGTTAGCATTATAAATTAACTTTGTTAATGGAAGAAGCACCATGCATGAGTCCACAGATTAAACAATTTGAGTTATTAAAATACAGAACGCGTGCGAAACTGGAAAATAAGACAAATTGAAGGTTTACATTATATATTTGGCGTCTTAGTTCATGTACTCGAAGAGGAAATATGTCCATTACATATATATAGAATTTGATAACTATTTTGCATCATGCATGCCAGCATAACATCACACTAATTAGCTAACACAAACGTGACACTGGTAATATAAAATTTGAAGATTGTTATTCTGGATCACTTTCATATAACAAAGAGAGTATGTGTTTGAAGAGTAAGATTGATTTAATTAATGTATGCAACCTAAAGGATATAGCACACAAGTGTTGAATTGAGTCAAACACACGAGGCCATGAGCAACATGATCAAGTCACAAGTGGCGTTGCTGTGTGAATATATAAATCTAACATCTCTGGTATCATTGTCTATAAATTAAGCATATTTACGTTTCCACATTCATCGTGGTCTAGCTTGTAGTGTAATTTGTGTCCTTGCTTATTAGGTTTTGCAGTCATAGACCTTGCAAATCATTAACAATGAAGAAGTCCTGTGGTTTGAGAGGTTACTACCTTTGTCTAATCAATATGTTCATGTTGCTTTTGGTAGCAAGATCCCAACTGACATCAGATTTCTATAGCTCATCATGTCCTAACCTTTCAAAAATAGTAAGGAGAGAGGTTCAAAAAGCTCTCATGAATGAGATGCGAATGGCTGCTTCTTTGCTTCGCCTTCACTTTCATGATTGCTTTGTCAACGTGAGTTTAAGTCATATATATGCATGGTTTTTTTTTAACCTTATTTCCATTTATATCTTAAATTCTTTCCCTTGAACATCATCAGGGTTGTGATGGGTCAATACTGCTAGATGGTGGTGATGATGCAGAGAAGTCTGCTATTCCTAATCTGAACTCTGTTAGAGGATATGAGGTTGTAGATACAATCAAAAGTTCAGTGGAGAGTGCATGCAGTGGGGTCGTCTCCTGTGCGGATATATTAGCCATCGCTGCCAGAGATTCTGTTCTCCTAGTAATTATATTCATAATTATTCTCTATTTTATTTTCTTCGTTAGTTTCTCTTTTTATCGTTTTGCATGGGAATGAAATATGAGTTTCCCAAACAAGTTGCAGAAGTTTTTAACTACACCATGTTTCTTAAACCTTGCTATATATATATATATATATTATATATATATATATATATATATATCACTCATAAAATCATAATGTTTCGTAGAGTGGTGGACCTTCTTGGAAGGTTTTGCTAGGACGAAGAGATGGCACGTTATCAAACGGAACACTGGCAAATACTGCTCTTCCTGCGCCATTTGATCCACTGGATACCATCATTGCAAAGTTTACTGATGTAGGCCTTAATCTCACAGATGTTGTTTCTTTATCAGGTATAACATAGAACTTCAGCACTCGTAATAGTTTAATGAAAAAAACATACGTGAAGTATCTCTTAATTGTTTCATACGTGAAGGTGCCCATACCATTGGCCGAGCAAGGTGTACTTTTTTTAGCAATAGATTGTCCAACTTCTCAGGAACAGGTGCACCAGACACCACATTAGACACTGCCATGCTCTCTGACCTGCAAAGTTTGTGTCAAAATGGAGATGGAAACGCAACTGCAGTTCTTGATAGAAACTCATCTGATCTATTTGACAACCACTACTTCAAGAACTTGGTCAGTGGAAAGGGGCTTCTCAGTTCTGACCAGATTCTATTTTCTAGTGATGAGGCTAATTCAACCTCTAAACCTTTGGTGGAAAGCTATATCAACAATAGTGGCCTCTTCTTCGGGGACTTTGTCAATTCTATGATCAAAATGGGGAACATAAATCCAAAGACTGGTTCCAATGGAGAGATTAGGAAGAACTGCCGAGTGATAAATTCCTAGGGATATGAATCTGGCTTCCAAAGATATATATATGTAATTAATAAGCAGAAAAACAAGTGTTTTCTAGTTATATTTAGGTAACTAAGGTTGTTGTTGTTCTTGTTTTATTGTGTTAAGTTACTAGAAATGGAATTTCAAAATGTGTTTTTCAGGTCCCACACAGTGAAAATGAAAACCTAACCCAACGGGAGACAAATTATGATAACAGGCTAGTCTTCAAACCATATACTTTTTGATTCGGATAACATTAACTTTCTATTACAAATTTTGATGTTTTTCATTAAAAATCTGAAATGTTAAAAATTAAAAATAGTAACTTAGATGAGGAATACAGATGTTATATTTCCATGTGTAATATATGAAAATTATTTTGGCCAGTAAGAGACCAAATTAACAACATGACCTAAGTTAAATTGGCCACAAATTATAATTTATTTTCTTTATTTTGATGTAGTAAAGTTCACCTTTTATATTATTCATTATACTATATTTACTCTTACACTAACAAAAGGATATATAATTTTTTTTACACTATTACAAACTTAAAATTGAAACTGACTCTTCAGCATAGTATCCTTGTACTCTTCAGCAGCTTTGTTAAAAGCAGGTTCTTCATTAAAATCAGAATGAATTGCAGGATAAAATCTGAACCAATGACTTTATTGTCACGAGCAGCAGTTAAATCCTTAAAACTAGTAGCTGCAACAACTAAATAAGAATCTGATTGAAGATCAAAATTAGAACCAGCTGCTGCAATATTACTCAAAACAGAACGAAAATCAGCACTAGCACCATCAGAAACTGGAAAATCAGTGACAACATCATTGGTTAGAAGAAAATCTTTAGCTGCAAGGGAGTTAAAACTGGTTGTGTTGCAGGTTGTAAAAAAAAAATTGTACTCCAGAGTTACTTTCAACATAAATAGAGCGCAAGCAGAGTCACAAGTGTATTCACTATAGTTTTCTGAAAATTGTGTTAGATCAAAATCTAAGCCTAAATCTCTAAACTGTTTTCATATTTGTCCTGTTTCGCTTATTTCTCCTCTTTTTCAATCTCATGTTGCACAATTTCTGCAGGTTTTTCAAGTTGCTCGACAGCTCTAATTATCTTTTCTCTTCTTGTTCTTCCTTTAGTTTCATCATTATAGCTTCTCCAATACAACATTGTAAAATACAACATACAATGTTTATGTTTAAGATTATGTTTACCTAAAAGTCTTTTGTAATTTTTAAATCCACTGTAATTTTGTTCATTACAAAAAAATTATTTTGGCATATTATTTCAAGTACAATTTGACATACATTATTCCTCTTATTATATATATATATTATATATAAATAAGATATATATATATATATATCTATCATATATATATATATATATATATATAGGTTTTGCTAACTTGTTTAAGTTTTTTTTTTCAGTTGGTACATTTTAGCTATGTGTATTAGGTTTTAGTAGATGAATAATTTTCATTCTCAAAATTAGAAAAAAAAACAAGAAACTCTCATACCCTTACCCACATCCCTCATTCATCTCAACCATTTGTCTTTTCATCTCTCTCACTCCAACCTTTTCTCTGTCATCCCTGGTGTGGTTCCAACTGAAAAAAAAATCAGAAACACTCGTCTAATCTTAATTCACCTTCCTCACTTGTTCCATTTGTTTCTCTCTCATCTCCATACTCTCTCATCTCCATACTCTCTCATCTCCATACTCTCTCTCACCACAATTTAATATGTTTGGTTTTATTTTTAGTTGTTTAATATCATGTTCAATATTTTTAAGTTATTTAATAAATGAACGAACAAAACAAAGCGCAACAAATTGCGGTGTCACGAGTTGCTATGTATGGGAGAGAGAGAGTATGGAGATAAGAGAAAAACAAATAAGTGAGGAATGTAGATAAGGGTTAGGCGAGTGTTTCTAATTTTTTCAGTTGGGAATACGACAGAGAAAAGGTTGAAGATGAAACAGAAAGAGTTGAGAGGAATTAGGGAGATAAATAAGGGTTAAGGGGTTTCTTGTTGTTTTTTAGTTTTGAGAATGAAAATTATTCAAATGCCCTTGACTTTAAAACTTATAATCCATAATATATGAGGGTATTTTTGTTTACTAAAATTCGGTATAGGATACTCATGTTAGCAAACCTATATATATATATTATATTATGTAAGTTTGTACTAACGATGAAAATGTAAAAGTTGTAATGTTGAAAGATGTAATAAGAAAAACAATTGCTATTTATATTCTGATTTTATTATATATTTTTTTATTTTATTTTTTCAAACTACCATGTATTCCCTTATTTGTGTTCCATTGTGAGTTGAGAACACATGTTCAAACTCTTGTATTACACCGTTTACAATTTTTTTACTGTGTAACTTGATATGTCTTTTGAGTATGTTGAGATTTTTTCATTACTAAATTGTAATAAAAAGGAATAATATATTGTAATAAAAAGGAATAATATATACAAGATGAAATATAAAATGTGTTTGATTTAGGGAGATATTAATATACATATGATTAATTAATAATAAATTATTAAAAATTGATTTAATTTCATTCAAGTTTAAAACATCAAATAATATACTCCATACAAATCTCGTGTTGAAAGTAATAACAATCCCAATCTTCTTCTCAAAAAATGCAATAACAGTCCTAATCTAAACTAATGAGAGTAATTTGGGTATTTAATTGGGGAGTGAGGTTAGATGGGAAAAATAAAAACTTCAAAAGAATTACTGAGAAAATTAGCATTATCGAATCGACTGGAGCGTTCCTTGGTGTTTCTGAGGAGCTGAAGAACGCATAATACAAGAGAAAGAAAAAAAAAGGAGCGGCGAGAGTGAAGTTGGAGTAACTAACAATGTACGGTGACGCCACCAACTGGGACGAAAATGCATACAGGGAAACGGTTCTCAAGGAGAGGGAAATCCAAACGCGAACCGTTTTCCGAACCGCTTGGGCTCCACCCTACAATCTCGACACTCTCCTTGTTGCCTCTAGCGACGGTTCCGTCGCATCCTACTCCATCTCTTCCTCCATCGCCGCCTCTAAGCTAAAAAACGTTAGCATAATCTCAATTGCTTTTTTCTTTCTTATTTTATTCGATTCAAGTGCATATCAAACCGATTTTGCTTGGCTCGTTTACTTCCACTGCTCGCGATTTCACTTCACTTGACGACGAAACTAACTGTTCTTATTTCGTGATTTTTGCGTTTGTTGCAGCCTTTTGGTTTTGTTAATGCGGATACAGATAAGTATGTATGCGTTCAAAATTTTTGCTTAATCAATTATTTATTTATCGGTCTTAGGTATAACTGTGTTTATTGTGCGTTGCTATTGGTTTAGGTTGTCAGTTGAACCTAATTGCTTCATTCAAGCGCATTATGGACCTGCGTATGATGTCAAATTTTATGGTGACGGTGAAGATGCTTTGTTGCTGAGGTTCAAATTATTACTGAATTCTGATCTTTTCTGTTTCTCTACTCGTACTGTCTTCTCATGGTGCACCGCATTAGGATAAATTTCTGTTTGGTCAGTATAAGAGCACGGCTTTTGTGTTTGCTGTAGATTGCTTCTTATTTTTTGTTCGCCATTTAAGTTTAAAAATGAGAACTTTTGGTTTGTGGTACTAATTATCCTGTGTCATCTAGCTGCAAATAAATAGACCTGGATTCTAGTTGCTATGTTGCCATTATCCTTCAGGTTTTTGTTTGATATTTGAATTTAGTATTCTTATAGCAACTCCTTTCTTGTATAGTTCTATATTAACCCTAAGAACCTGTTTTTGTGTGGCTCAACCGATGGAGTAGATTGATCTGGCAGTCAATTGTAAGAACAATACATAGGAACTGGTTGTTATCATTAAAATATATTTTTGTAGCAAGCAATCTGTGGCAAAAAGGAGGGAATATCACTTTGAATCACAACCAGAAAATACATCAAGTGGTAACTTGAAATGCCCACAAAGTACAGCACCCTGGAGCTTTGGACAAAACTTAGAATCGACATAATACAACTGCTTAAATGGACTTGTGTTAGCAAATATTATAGTTACTAGATGCAAGAATCAAACATATTAACAACCATCACGTGTATTGTCATAACTGTGGATGTTTAATTTATCACTTGGCACAAGTCCTGATAGCATTTTATCTTTCAGCTGTGGTGATGATGGTCGGATTCGAGGATGGAAATGGAAAGAATTTTCAAGCGCTCATTATTCTGTTTCTTCACAAGGTGGTAATGCTTGTTTGGAAATGTTTCATTGCTTTCTTTGTTTTCCCCTAATTATATTGTTTCTGCATCTATGAATCTTTTGGTGTGTTTGGTAGAAAAGAAAGAAATAGGTGAGAGATAAGATGAATGAAATTAGGAGAGAAAGAGAAATAAAGTGAATAAAACTAGGTGAGAAATAGAGTGAAAATAGAGGTGTTAGTTTTAAGAGAAACAAAGAAGAGATAGAAAAAAAAAATTAAAATTAATTTTTTAACAAGAAATTGATTGTTTTTAAGAACAAACTATTGTTTCAAAAATCAATTATGATTCTTCTCCACACATAATGCTATATCAAATTTTATGCTATTAATTACGAAAAACTCAATTGATTATTATTTACATATTTCTGTTTTCATTTTTCATTTCTTTGCTGTTTTGTGGAGAAAATAGGAAGGTGTGCAACACCTTTTTATTTTTCTTTCCTTTTATTTCCACACTACGAACACATACCATTTCCTATCAACTCCCTATTTATACTCTCTCCTTTCTATTATCTACCAAACAAAGAGTTAGTGTTTTATTTTAACTGGCAAGTGTTTCTATTTTATTCAGAAGCATTTTATTCAGTATAAAAATTTCAAAATAGATGCTATCCCACTAGCATTTTTGGGGTCAGCTGGTACATACTGCCTTAAGGGATTGGAAACCATGATTTTAAGTGAGAAGCATTAGAGTGATTTATCTGATGCAGAAAGGGTTTTGACTTTGTTCCCAAACACATGTTAATATAAGTAAATTATTGATCAGCTAAATTTCTCTGGTTGCCTAAAAGCCCATTCTAGCATTGTTCTTTACCCTCTTCCATATATATGCCTAATTGTGTGTTTGATTTGATTGGGGAGTTTCAATCTGTTACTTCTTCGATATCACTTTTTGTACTATTGAATAATGATTTGTTATATTTCTTATGTGTGTCATCCCTTAACATTCTAGGAAATGATACCAAGCCTGTACTTGATGTGGTGAATCCTCAACACAAGTGAGTTTTTTGAGTATTGATGCATATTTCAGCTTTCTTTACAAGATGCTTTGTCGTTCTTGATTTCAATGCTGTTTAGTTCATGTACTTTCTGTACATTCTCTGAATATACTTATGCATTTGGGCTCCATGTTTGCCATCATTGCCTATTGCACTAAAAAAATATTTAATATTATTTGGAATGAACTTAATGTTTAAATTCTTATTTATCTTATTTGCTTTTACAATTGTTGTTAACTTTGTTAGTATTTATCTCACTTGGAACCTGTTTGCAAAAAAAAGATTCTTCTCACTGAGTAGAATTTTTATAGCTTATTATGCAGTATCAGGCTATCAGCAATTCCTTTGTGCCTCCTTTTTTGGTTGTCTAATGGTCCTCTATATGCCCACACTTTGTTTTTCTAGAGGTCCTTGGGGCGCACTTTCACCTATTCCTGAGAATAATGCTCTTGCTGTTAATACTCAGGTTTGCAATTGGTTTTTTCTGTTTGTTAGAATAATTTACTTGTTATTTCACGATTCAATTTGTTCCTATTTTTTTGTTTAATTATAGGAGGGATCAGTTTTTGCTGCATCTGGTGATTCTTGTGCATATTGTTGGGATGTGGTATGTATTCATGGAAGGTGAATATAATTCCTGCATAGGAAGTTTCTTGGATAGCTTGATCTATAATTATACTTGCGTTAATATTGTACTAACATGTGTTAATGTTTCTAGGAAACTGGCAAATTGAAAATGGTATTCAAGGGGCACATGGAGTATTTGCATTGTATAGTTGCACGCAACTCGTCCAATCAGGTCTTGATTCTTGACCTCACTGTTTTTGGACTTGTGGGTAATTATTAAACAAGAAGAAATAAATCCAAAGGTGAAGGAAGAATGGAGGTTGTTCTTGTCTAGACATGGATATGAATTTTATTAAGTAACTTCTACATGACATGAAATCGTAATAGCTATAGCTAAGATACATAACTTGTTAAACTATAGGAAATATAGAGTGACATTAAGCTGAAATCATGTATTTCCAATGCTTTGTTTATATTGAGAAAACAAAACCAATACAATAAATAGAGGAGATTTGATATGAAATCAATATAATAAAACATGTTGTCAGTGGAATTTGTCCATAGATGTCTCTTCAAAAGATGGACCGTACACTAGAATTTTAATACGTTGTATTGATATACGTGAAATGTTGTTGAAGAAAATTTTCTAGGTATGGGAGAGTCAAATGGTGAAGGAGGGTTGACAAAGGTGGGAAACTAACTACATATATATTGGTTAGAAGGAACAAGGGTAATAATATGGGACATACTCGAAGGCAGAGACATCAACTAAAACAAAATATCAATTATGTTTAGGAGAAAAATATCGATACCCATTTTTGAGATAGATGATATCCTAAAGACATATGTTGAATATAGTAAAAGTAGATATAGGGTTAATCTTCCTTGTGTAGAAAATACATATAGGGTAATATATTTATAATGATGATAAAAGATGTTAGGGGTTTGGTAGTACCAATGCCACAATCCTTTGCTTGTAAACCATTGACAATGGTAATGAAGGAAAAATTGTCAAATAAGGGAAGAGAAAAAAGAATGATGACCAAGTATATGATCAGTTGCAATATAGTCAATGACCAAAGGTCCCAAGGAAGAAAATTGAGACATGTAATGTTATTAGTAAATTGACAAGTCTCACTCCATCTGAGAAATCCTCATATGTTGTCAAAGTTTTATGAGGCTAGTCAATCGTACCGGAAGACTTTTTTTCCTTTTTTTTAAATATGTTCTAAAATAATAAATAATAAAATAATAACGGGAGAGAGAATCTCGAATCAAATTGCCAAACGAAGTCAGATGGAGTTTCAATTACCATGGTTGTGTTTGGATGAAAGATGTGAGGACGATGATGGTGGCCGGAAGGCAATCATCACCACGTGGCAACATGGGTGGCAAATGTGTGGATGGGAAAGATGCATGTCCAGACACTTCATATAATGCCCTTGGTTGGTGTTTGGATGATCTTGAAGTTGACGTTGGGCAAGTCTGATACTGATGTTGCCGAAGCAAATGGAGGTTGTCAAAAATCGTTAGAGATGCCACTGAGCAGTGAGCAAGCGTGGAAAAAGGGTTTGAGAAAAGAAAACTCTTTACCTGAGACAATGGGTCACCAACCCAATTTTCAAGAGGCTTTGTGATACCTTGTTAAGCTACAGGAAACAGAGATGTTGAATTGGAACCTTGTATTCCTAAGACAACACGAGTGTTTTATTTAAATTGAGAAAACGAAATCAATACAATACAATAAATAAAGGTGATACGGTATCCTCTAATGGTATAGATATGATATGGGAATAAGTAAAAAATTCCCAATATTACATATATAATCTAGATATTTCTGATTGAAAAAAAAATCTGATTATAAAAGAATTGTGCCTTATTTCTACAATTATAACATGACTGAAGTAGTCACCTGTTTGTTTACAATTAAGATTAAAACGACAGATGAACAGGGATAAGTAGTGATCCTAATGGAGAAAATGTTATTAATTTTTAAAAAGAAGAACGAGAGATAACATGGAGTTTTATTCTTTAATAAATTGGCTTTTTTTAAAAAAAATTTTTTGCTCCTTTATCCTTAATGATAATAAAGGTATGTGTTAACACTTTTTTGAAATTGGAACATATATAAGACATAAACAGGGAAATAATTTTATGTACCATATAAAGAGTAACGAAGGGGAAATGAGATAATGGAGAGATGTATACCGTTGAAGCAACTAAAAATCTTTTCTTAAAAAATAATCTATAGTTTCTACAAAGAAATGTTCAAATGCTGCACTAGTAATAGAATTTAAAAGTTCCATTACTCTTCTGTCGCTAGAGAATATGTAGATTAGTATTTTAAATTCCTAACTGCAAAAGCATATTTTCTCTGTTGACATTTCTCTTTTTCTTAGTGATTATTTTTCCTTCCCACATTATGCCTAGGTTTTTAACTGTTGCTTCTTTCTGATCAATGTTCAGATCATAACAGGTTCGGAGGATGGGACAACACGAATTTGGGGTAATATTTTTTTTTTTTCAGCTCAAGTTACTAAAGTTTAACGGACTGCATGAAACAGATTACTTTTTTATGCAAATTCATTGGTTATTAAAATTTATTGATATAGATTTATTGGGTAGTTAAGTTTTTGTGGCTTATTTGCAATGTTTAATAGATTGCAAAAGTGGAAAGTGTACCCAAGTAATTGATCCAGTAAAACATTTGAAGTTGAAGGGATCTGCTTCATGGGTTGGCTGTGTTGCTTTAGATGCAAGTGAGAGTTGGTTGGTAAGAGCATATCTCTTATTTTATAATTTCCTTGCCTTCCCTTCCCTTCATATTAGTGGATTCATGCTAATTTGGTAAAAGAAATTGAATATTTAGACAAAATGTTGATCGCCTCGGTAATTGCAGATGCAGTGGATGTGACGTTATGAGAGGATGATTCCAGTTTAACCATTATTTCTCAGGGTTGAGAATAGTGCTATAAAGCTGTGCTGGAGTGCCCCTGCCCATGACAGGGGTCTCTGTAAAGGCACAGTCCAGTGTTGTGGCTGTAGTGGCCTTTATAGTAGTTGGGATATCTCTGTAAACACTCTCTAAAAATATGTCATTTGAAGCTTTTCTCTTGCATATCTCTTCTGACCATCTCCGGAAGCATGTGCGTGGCCAATTTTACAATTTTCTGACCTCTCTGTTGTTTGGGTAACTTCTGCCCTTTCCCCTTTGTTCGCTGTTCTGCGCTTGCTAAGGGTAGCAGAACAGTGGATGCATTTTGGTTTTTCTGAAAAGAGAAGATGATTTACTTGATTTAAGTGGGGACTGAATGACTGATGGGAGAAAGAGGCTAAGATTTCATTTGTGTCTAGAATCAGAGGTGGTACTGGGGCTGCACCCTAATTGGTCCATTCTATTTCCTAAGTAGTCCTACAATTGGGAAAGGTGTTCTTTTGCTTCTACTATATAACTTGAATGATAGAAAAGATTTTATTGAATTGATTCAATAACAGTACATAAGCCTACATAAATAAATCCTAAAATAATGATTACAAAAAGATCTCTAGAATTTTCCAACTGCTGACATGTAATGATAACAATATCCTATCAAAATATTTTCTCCTGAATCATCAATACACACATATATATATATATATATATATATATATGTATATATATGTATATATATGTATATATATATGTATATATATGTCTGTATGTATATATATGTCTGTATGAATATGAATATAAACAAATTACAATACCATTTATCCTACCTTTTGGGGTCAGGCACTTTCTGGGATTTAAAACATTGTTATTTCTAAGAACGAATATATTTTCTCTGTCAGGAATTATAGGTGTTAAATGAAAAAACTATTTTTGTTAACAAGTCCTTTTGTTTCATCAATACAAATAACATGTTTCCAGCCAAAATAGCCTCACATTTTTAAGGTTTTCTTTTCTCTGTAGGCAAACTAATAGAACCAACACATGCATGAGAAATATGTTATGTATGTTGTTCTTGAATAGTTGGTTGCTTTATAAATACTAAAGGGACCACCGTCAACTTTATTCAGGCTTGCAGTAGTGGACGAAATATATCACTTTGGAACCTGCCTGCTTCCGAATGCGTATCAAAAATTCCAACGCGTGCTACTGTACAGGACATGTTATTTGACAATAATCAAGTGAGTTGGTTATATCTCTATTTTCTCTTCACTTGTTTCAAACACGGTCATAATATATGATCATGTTAACCTCTAGAGCGACAGACAAGTTGTCAGTGTCATGCTCCAGAAAGTTGAAGGTGTTTTACATCATATACAAAAAATATTTGTACTCACTATCATTAGCCACAAAAAAAGGTCTTTTATGTACTGTATTGAGTTAGCTTCCCCCTTTAGCCTTTATTCTTCATTTTTTGTGTTCTTAATATCTTTATAGACACTAATAATTCTTTAAATTTCAGAAAAATTTCATGTGAAGATATCTTGGATTTCTCAGGTTGATAAAAAACGACGTTATATCCTTTAGATGCAGAAACTTTTCCCCACCCATCTTAATTTCTTCCGTTCTCCTTTTTCAAACGTTATTTTTTTCAAAATGTCATTAGTAGTATTAACGTTGCAATCATATTTTATCCTAATGATACGTACCTGATGACTGGTACGGTGATGCTGTCAAAATTGATTGGGCTATTTGTAGTCTTCTAACAGCGAGAATAGATGCTCTGGTGAAAATATAAAGTACGCGAAAGTGCCATAAATTTATAGTTCAGAGCCTGTGGTATATGTCCTTGTATTTTTATTTCTCAGCTCCTCCATTTTTCTGGTGCAAAATTTTCTGCGTATTTTGCTCTTGCTCTTGTCAATTATAAGTATTGCAATTACCCTTATCTGAATATTGATTAACTCATTTGTTGTTCTTATAATATCAGTAACTCTCATGATAATTGTAGCTCTGCTAACTCTTGTTAATTGTTTGTATTTTACTTTCAGATTTTGACAGTTGGTACAGATCCTCTGCTCAATCGCTTTGACATGAATGGCACGATCCTTTCACAAATACAGTGTGCTCCTTCGTCATCTTTTTCTATCTCCTTACATCCTGCAGGGGTATGTTCTGCTTCAAAATCATTGCTATTGTGTTTAGTACCGGTTGTCCGCTCAAACATGCTGACGGACTCCTTGTTACTCTCTACTTTATGTGATATATAGTTGCATTACTGCGAAACTCATTTCAGGTTATGGCAGTTGGAGGTTATGGTGGCCTTGTTGATGTTATATCACAATTTGGCAGTCACATGTGCACATTTCATTGTTAAGCAAAGTTCTCAGATAGTTTGAAAATTCTGATTCCTCAGGATCAAGAACCCAAACAATTTCTAAGTCAGCTGTGACAAGCTTTGGGATTAAGATAGTTTTTGGCCTAACTTATTTTTAATTTTCTTCTCCTTATAAGAAGAAACACTATATATAAAAGTTAAAAAAAAGAAAAGTAGTATGAATTTAAACTTATATTTGTATAATTAGATTATATTCATTTTATTATTGTTTTTCAGTCACAAATGTTTTTTTAGAATATAACCTCCACACCTAATGATTGTATCTGATATATAATAACTATTAAATTTTAAAACTATATAATTTAATTACAACACATACATATTTTCTTCAATCATATATTTTAATATATCTGAAAATAGTTGTGTAGATCTATAAGTTTAATTATTGTTACAAACTTTATTGTTAAATATTTTAATAAATATTATAAATTTGATTAATTATTTAAATTTTTTATTCATATTATTAAACTTTATTTAAATATTATATTTACAGATTATACATCATTTTAACTTTTAAATTTAATTATGGAAATAAATTGTGTATATGGATATAATAATAATTAAATAAGTTTTTAATAAATTAAAAAGTTAAATAAAAAACAACTGAGCCATGAATACCCGGCGATATAGGATTAGCTTTCTTAAAAAATCTTTCAAGTGAAAAAGAAAAAGAAAAACTGACAACTTGCTAAACATATCTGTTATAAAAAAAAATCGTTATTCCATACTAATTTTTGTAATTTTTTATTGAACGAATTATGAAACTCTTATTTTGTTTTTCTTGAGAGTAAGACTTTTAGAATGATATTTTTCTTTATAAAAGAAAAAAGAAAAAAAAAAGGGAGGGCTGAAATTCAAGCAATAGGAAAAACTTGGATAATTAAGTTTTTCTTTTAAATAATAAATTTTGTAATCTTATGTCATTTGTCCCTTGAAATTATTACTTCCTGCGTTAATTAATATTTTCGTCTACAAATAATGCATTTAATTATTCTCATAATTCATAAATATTCTACCAGACGTATTTATGAAAGACTTTTATCAGTTCATTTGTATGTTTATGAAGTTTATATAGTAAAATAAGTGAATAGTGAAGATAAATGCATTATTTTGTTCAGTTTTTCTTTTTTAAGTAGGAAAATGTTAATATGTATGTAGTAATTCCTAATTACACGAGGAATAGTATAATCTCCAACCTGAATTTTATAATTAATTGTTAGAAGGCTCTTACCTTTTTAATTTTTACTTACAGTTTGTAAAATGTAATGGTATTTGAAGTTGACTGAATTATAATTGAAATTACGTGTATTTATTTTTCTTTAGGATGATAAAAAATAATAAATTTATTATTATAAAATTAAATATAATCATTTCTATAATTTTATTAGAAATAGTTTTTATTGATTCTGAATGTAATTTTTTAATTGAAAAAATATTAAGTTTTAAAAATTACCAAAGGTTAAAATTAAAAACGGATAAAATTGATAAAATAATTAGAAAAAAAACTTGGGATTTAAAGGATAGAATGAGAAACCAAATGAAGAGAAAAAAAATATTTATATGTATAGAGAGAGATATAGATATATAAGTAGAAGATAAGTTTTAATCTTGAACTCTTTTTTAGAATAAAGTTAAACATTAAGTCATATCCTAAAATGTATCCTAATAATTGTTGTTCGGTTAATGAAACTAGTTTTTAAGATGATATATATATATATATATATATATATATATATATATATATATATTTTATTTTATTTTTTTTCATATAAAATTTATATTTAAAATATTCAACTTATTAATAAGCAAAAAAAAAAAATAATAATAATATATACAAATGAGAGATAATGTTTGTCTTCTTGGGAAAGATTTTACTGTGTACCTCAATTTTTAACCCTATACTTTTTTATTTTGTACTCAATAACAAATATATTCCTACGACAAGGGTTTATGAATACGAACAGTATCTACTTATTTAAAAAATTTATTCGTTATCCACATGTATATATATCTATTTAAAATATATTTGTTAATATTTTAAAATTCAATAGATACCTATAAATATTTTTAAAAAAATTATAAAATTTTAAAATGAAATTACAAAAAAATATTAAATATAATATAAATTAAATTTTAATTTTAATTAAATTTAACTTAACAAAATATAAATCAATTTTATTTTTAATTAAATTAAATTTAATAAAATATAAACATTTGTTTCGGAATAGTATAATAATATAATATTACACTCAACTTATTTCTTTTTATTATTCTTGAACTTAATATTTCAAATAGTACAAAAATTAATTTTCATACTGTGAAGTCCACCTGATGTATTTTTTTTACATGCATATTAATTCTGGGCAGTTACTCCTCCACCACCACCGAATACTCCTTACATCACTCCATACCAATTTTACTCTTCTCTAAAACGAATGTTAACATTCGTTTCACCTTCAACGGAGGTTGACATCCGTCTATTCACATATTTTATATTTTAATTTATTGTTTTTATTTAAAAAAATAATATTAATCTTCAACGGATGTGGCGAGATCCGTTAACGGATTGCCACATCCGTTTCAATAAAAAATTTTAAAAATATTTTGATTATTACTTAAATAATAATATATAAATTAAATTAATAATTATTATTTTATTAAATAAAATAAAATTAATTCATAAAAAATTAAGTAATAATTTTAAATTAATTAAATAATATTTTTATATTAATTTAAAAACTTAAAAAACTAAAAACTTAAAAAAAAAAAACTTCAACGAATGTGGCGAGATCCGTTAACGGATTGCCACGTCCGTTTCAATAAAAAATTTTAAAAGTATAATGATTATTATTTAAATAATAATATATAAATTAAATTAATAATAATTATTTTATTAAATAAAATAAAATAAATTTATAAATAATTAAGTAATAATTTTAAATTAATTAAATAATATTTATATATTAATTTAAAATATAATAAATTAAAAACTAAAAATTTAAAAAGAAAAAACTTCATGAATGTTGCCCACATCCATTTTAATAAATTTTTAAAAACTATTTTTATTATTTAAATAATAATACATAAATTAAATTAATAATAATTATTTTATTAAATAAAATAAAATTAATTTATAATTAATTAAATAATAATTTTAAAAAAATTAAATAATATTTATATATTAATTTAAAATATAATATAATAAAAAACTAAAAACTTTAAAAAGAAAAAAATTTTAAGGATGTGGTAACATCCGTATCCATTTTAATAAAATTTTAAAAGTATTTTAATTATTATTTAAAATAATAATATATAAATTAAATTATAATAATTATTTTATTAAATAAAATAAAATTAATTTATAAATAGTTAAGTAATAATTTTAAAAAAAATTAAATAATATTTATATATTAAATTAAAAACTTAAAAAAACTAAAAACTTAAAAAAAAAAACTAAACGGATGTGCGGATGTCCCACATCCGTTGAAGAATTTTTTCTTCAACGGATGTCGACATCCGTTCAAGAGAAAAGGAGGGGTGTAGAATATTTTAAGATATAAAAGATAATTTTGGAATTTAGAAAAAGTGTGGTGGTACAAGGAGCAATGTGTGGTGGTGTAG